TTCAATAAACATGATATTACTGCATTTGGCTTATTTAGTATTATAGAAGAATGATGCCAATCAGCTGAAAATCCTGGTTCAACCCCTAAATGCTGTTGTACATTGGATTTCTGCTGGGATGGATGCCCCGAATTGCCGAGCATCACTGCGCCCTTCACATTGTTAATGAACATGTTAATATGTATATTGTATGCACATATATATTAGATATTAGCTCTATGATAACAGTCCTAATACATTTTGGGGAGAGTGCAGATTTCAGCAATAACATTGTAATTTCAGTCATCACCCGGTGTCTATATTTATCATTCTTCTCCTTATTTACTCTGCTGCTTATCGCTTTCTATGAGAATACAATCGCTAGAACAACAAAAAAGTTTTAATTTAAGAAAAATACAATGAGGGTAATTTATAAAAACTGGAGCAGTTGCCCATAGTAACCAATCAGCTTCTCTTTTCAGTTAAGTTTTTCAAAATTAAAAAGAGAAACTGATTGGTCACAACTGCTCCAGATTCTGTCTGCTCCGGTTTTTACAATTTCCCTTCATTGTTTTTTTTCTATTCCAAACTCGCAGTAACGATTTACTCCTCTACAGCCAATTACATTTAACGATGTCAGTTTATTTGTCTGTGTGCTGACCAACAATGTCTGACTTTTTACACACATTGGGGCAATTTACTAAAGGAGTCATTCTCACTCCCTACACAGCCAGCCTACATTCATGTTCAGGAGAAAGGTATGTTTTAATTCCCAGGTTCCTTTCACCAAGAGTTAGAGCCTCTCATAAATAAACCTATTCATGATCTCTGCCTTATGGAAATTAAATACCGGCAGATCATCTCTATGGAAATGCAAAAATGCATATTCCAAGTTACCCTTATTGCCAATTGCCAATGGAAAAACCAATACCCAGTGCCAAAGCACATGCCCTGACATAGGGTGAGAGTATATCCCTTTACATAGTGCCAATACATGGGCAAGTGTCCTTTTATAGTGCCTGTGCAAATACATTTCAGCTGATTTACTGAAGGAGTTGAGAATCTGAATATTCTCTCAATTATCACATGCAGAAGAAAAAACTAAGCCAGGATTTGCCGTTCACATGATTGGACAACTGAAGTCATTATTTATACAATTTATTGTGTAAAGATTCTTAACTTCTTTAGTAAATCAGCCTCATAGTGTCAGTGTACCTGCAATACACAGTAAACTGTGTACATGCCATTATATACTGCCAGTGTATGTGCCCCTACATAGAGCCAATGTGTGTACCCTTATATACCAGGGCAAGTGAATCTGCTCTTACACAGTGCCAGTGCAAGTACCCTTATATAGTACCAATACATGTGCCCTCATAGAGTGCCAATGTATGTATCCCTACATAGTTCCAGTGCATGTGCGATCCATAGTCCCAGTGCATGTGCCCTCAGACAATGCCAGTGCTAGTACACTTAATTAGTACCAGTGCTGCAGTGCATGTGCTCTTATAGAATGCCAGCATATGTACCCTTACACAGTGTCAGTGCAAGGAACCTTACATAGTGCCAATACATGTGCCCTTACAGAGGGACAATGTATGTACCTTTACATAGTGCCAGTGCATGTACTCTTATAGAGTGCCAGCAGATGTACCCTTTTACATTGCCAGCGCAGGAACCCTTACATAGTGCCAATGCATGTAGAGCTGTGTAAATGCCCTTATAGAGTGCCAATCTATGTACCATTACATTGTGCCAGTACATGTGACCTTATAGAGTGCCAATGTATGTACCCTCACATTGTGCCAGTGCATATGCTCTTATAGAGTGCCAATGTACCCTTACATAGTGCCTATGCATGTGCCCTAGTAGAGTGCCAATGTATGTACCCTCACATTGTGCCAGTACATGTGCTCTTGTAGAGTGCCAGCACATGTACCCTTACACAGTGCCAGTGCAAGTATCCTTACAGGGTACCAGTGCATATGCCCTTATAGAGTGCCAATGTATGTACCATTACATTTGCCAGTGCATGTGCCCTTATAGAGTGCCAATGTACCCTTACATAGTGCTGATGTATGTGCTCTAGTAGAGTGCCAATGTATGTACCCTCACATTGTGCCAGCGCATGGACCCTTACAGAATACCAACATATGTACCATGACATAGTGCCAATATACATGCCCTTACATAATTACAACCCTTACC